CTTCTTCTTTTTCTTCTTCTTCTTGTTAACTAGTTCCTGGAACTCACATCTTCGCTTTTATCGGCAGTTCATACCTTATTAACCCATTTGTTCTCCTTATCATCATTGTCCTCGTAGACATGTCCACTCCCAAGACTGAAACAGTGCACCCACCAGGAATGCAGTCTGATGCATAAACATCAGATGTGGTATCTCATTGCAACTAAGGAGGACTTCGCCCCTTTTGGAGGGGGGGCTTAGTCCACATGCTTTGAACTCAAGCTTGCTACCCTCTGATAAGGCAGCAGAGCTAGAAACTGCTCGGTCATCGCTGACCAACCTTTCACCATGCATACCGAAGCATACGTGCGAACTTGGGACAGGATGGAGACCTGGCCGCTACGATGTTAGGACCTCATTCGATTCCTTTGCAGTCTAGTCACTTCTGGCCTAGATGACACAATTTCTTACGATAAATCCACCAACTATTACCCTTTTTAGATAATCTCACGTAGCACAGACCGGCATAGACTAGGCATTATTTCACTTGATCTTGATACGACTGTTATTGTATTTGATCCTGCTGTACCCGACAATATTATTCATGATGTCTATTTTTACATGGAAATGTGGGGTAGTGATAAGTGAACTAAAACACTTCTTCAACAGTGAAGACCAGATATTAATGGTTCAACCACTACGTCGAAAACATGGCAGACCGTGTACGTTTTCTTGAGAGACCGCCTTACCATCGCCACCAATGAAGGAAAAGGACCGGGCGGGGTTGAAAAAGGGCCGCCAGACCGAACAACCCCTTCAGAGGCTCAACCACTGCATCGTGGTGATGACTCATAACGCTCGCAGTCGACAAGCCCGCCAAACATCCCCTAGAGTTCGAGACAGTGAAAGAGAAAAAAACGATCGGCATGAGATCGACTAGCCCGGCCCACCACCTCTGTTTTTGTCCCGAAAAGCTCATTTGTCGCGTCGACAGCGGCAGATCGACCACGATCTCGGAAACGCCAGCCTTCCGATAAACCCGTTTCAATGAACGCCTCTTATTTTCCACTTAATATATCATTGCGCTCATAGGATGAACAATGGGCAGTGTGTTCAGACCATTACAACCATCATTCTCGGTTTGCTTGGTAAATCCCAATATTGCGGAGAGTCTTGTTCAAGACGCAATGCGTTTAAACCACGTGAAGTACTGTTCCTGCCTAACTGTTGTTGAATACTCTCACTGTCTGCGTGCGTCGTCTAGCATTCAGACACAGAAGAGGCTTGGCAAACATAGGTCGATCTTTATAGTAATCGTACTCTGACGTTTGGCAGTAACCCAATGCGAGGATATTTAACAACACCTACTCCTTCCAAGTTGTCGACCGTCAATCATATCCTTTTTAAGGATGCGGCTCAGCTATGGAGAAGACTAACAGGCAAACTGCCCACCCAGCAATATCAAAACCACGTATGCCGTTTTCCGGGATTTGAGTAATTACGTAGAAGGATTGGCTGGACGTCCGACCGAAATCTGGCTGTTGTTAGAAGTTGTTAAGAGCTAGAAGTCGACACTGTTGGCAAGAAAATAGGTTTCGATCCTAGAAAAATTTTGGCCGATGTATCATCTGGCCGTACTATCTGCTAAACGGACGAACAAGCAAACGGCAGTGTTGTTCTAGAACGACAAAACAGAGTCTTCAGTCGCTGGCAAGTGTGGCTTCTGCCGGTAGGGCATTCAGTCATTTTAATATTCAGCCGGTTCATTTAAGTCCAGTTCGGACTCAAGTTTGAATTTTCTCACTCTGAAGATGAAGATGCGATCACTGGGACTTCTTCATCTTCTGAACTGCTACCTGGGACTCGCCTGTTCGCTTCTATCAGCATTTTCTCACTCTTTTATACCTATTCTACTGAAAAATCTGGTGAATGAGAACACGAGAGAAGCTGTATGAAGGAAGTCCACGGAAGTGCAATTTCCAGTCCAATGATAGCAGGTATATGCCTTTAGTCTTTTTCAGATTGACGAAAAATCTCATTTAACGATATCACAGATGACGGGCTGGAGAACGATCACTTGTGCTGAAATGTCCTCGGGTCAATAATGTTAAGAAATTATTTCTGTTTCTTGAGGACATTATGATCATACTCGTCCATGGGGAATTTAGTTCAACAACCCAGGAGAGGTGACTGAGTGGTAAACGCAGTCTGGATTTTGCGGGGTCCAGTCCTTGACTTTTCCGTTTATATCTGCCCGATGGTGGAAAATCCTCACTACGTCCGGAAAGCAAAATGATAGTAACAGTTATAAGCACTTTGCCCCTGTCGGCCTTTATCCTGTGGACATGACCAGTGGCAAACGAATGAAAGGGACCTTCCAAAACCATTTGCATTATGTCACGCTGCAAATGGGACCCTAGATTACTGACATCACTTCATTTAAGGGGGGTGAAAACCATGCAAATTCTCCCAGTTACTTGAAAAATCACCCTGATATTGCTGCGTTGCCCGAACACACTGTCATTCTTCAGATGGAATACCCTTGACAATTTAACTGAAGGAAATAATTGTATACCGCATCGGCACATTTTAGTCCTTTAAACGGGGCCAATGAGTGTCTGTTCAGAAGTAACTGCTGCATATATAGCGTGATTCATTGCGATATTCAGAAGTTCATGACAAATTCGATTTCGCGACTGACAGGGGCGTTTAAATAACATTTTTATCTGGTATTTAGGTTCAAGCGATTGAGAAGAGAAAGGTAGTCAAAGAACACGGGTTGCGATCAATGGGTTCTTTGAGTGCCGCGTAGACGATGTTGGACAGGATCGACATAGAGCCCAGGAGTTCTCGCTCCACGTGTCAACTGCGTTTGCTGTCGCCAAAATACGTCATCAGAGCTGTCTTGAGGACTACGTAGTAGTCAACGTCCAGAGTCAGTCAGGTACCACAAGGTAGAACTTGAAAATTTTTTTTCTGTGCACTTTTGTTTGTCACGTCAGCATGCGCTCGAAGCAAGTGGTATCGATATCAAATTCGATTATTCTATGTGCTGTGAGTTTGCCGTATACAATTAAATTAGAATTTTGCATTGCATGGACCTCTCACCTTGACCGTCGCGAACGATGATGTTCACTGTCTTCCACTGCGTGGTGGGCGCAGGAGGGTGGACCTAATGCATGGGAATACGGACATTACTCCTGTTCCTCGTCGGTTATTCTTTGTTGACTTGCTTCGCAGGAGTTTATACTTCCGGAAGTGGTGGTGCTGCAGCTATCCAACTGCCGCCTTAAGTCATAACTTTGGCCGTTTCACCAGAATAGAAAATCACTTCAGGTTTCGCTTACCGCTTTCGGCTGGCTTACGAGAAGCAACTAGGTCGTCTTAAAGGGGAGATGTCTCCAGAACCCAGATGACCAGTGACGGGAAGTGACGTCAGCTCACAAGTACCGGGTCCTTATACTCGGCCTGGTCACATTCCTCGCAAAAAGATGACAACTATGAAAGCGAATAACTGATTGAATCATGATCCTCTGGCGCGCAGTCGAGCAATAAAAGCAATAACCCCTCAGAGTACACTTCTTTAAGACACACCATCGTACAGCCCTTATACTAATTGTCGCACTTTACCTGTGTCCTGCCCACCACTTGAGCTACGATCCGGCAGCAAGATCTTAGTGTGGTTGCTGTCCTTGTGTGACCAATATCCGTTTCAATCCTTAATGACGGACCCGGGTATAAATCCAGCCCATCAGATAATTACACCCCTTATTCCTATCCGCGAGGTTACTTCCGCTAGAGGTTCATTTTTAATGAAAAATTTTGCTGCCATGTTTAGAGTCGCCAGCATCTCAAAACTGCTCGTAACCCAAGGTTACTTCGTTAACTGGAGCTTGTGATGCATGTTTAAGTTCGTAACTGTGAAATAGCTTTTTTGTAGCTTCAGGCAAAGATCATTTGCTTCAGCTGGGGATTGCAAGAAAATGAAACTTTGGTGATGGCAAAATGTTTTATGGATTTAAACACCAGAAATGTCCCTACCTTCTGTTATTTGTATGACGACCTCTTTGATCATCTTCTTTAAGTAGCGACCCAGTGGTTGAAAGGCCTACTTCTTCTAGTTGGGTGTCAAAATCTGAAGCATTCAGCCCTGTTGTAAAAACGAAATAACAGAGGAGTAGAGAGCATAGTACAATCTTGTCCATTTTATCTTGCTCAGTTAGAAACCAACGTTTGCTAAATGTAAACGCATTTTTTAAATAATAGCATTTTCAGTTACATCTATGAAAGCACAACTTGATAGGTGAATGCCGATACAATGACCAATCACAAGAACGTATCTTTACAGCATTCAGTGGAGCTTGTGACCAGCCATTTCAGCAGCACTAGTGATGACCGAAGCACACTCATCCGTTTGCCTTACCGTATGCGTTCATGTGCACCAGAAGGTAAAGGTTTCAAGTAGAACAACAGTTACCTTTGTTTATGCCAACTTTCGGAGGTAAGACTGAACTTCTTAGTGCAACGCGGAACGACATAAACAATGCGGAATCGGGGACGTCTTTATGTCTGACCTGACACATGACTGCTACCTAGGGAGATGGTTATGCGTGCGTATATTTTAAACCTGTCTCCACGTTGACAACTTGACTTTGTAGTTTGCACGGAATTAACTAGCTGCAGCGAACGCATTAGGTCGTTGCCACCTATAGAATACAGCTTAAAAGTTGAGCTTGATTATATTAAAATGCCGGTGCGTATGCGATATCTCAAGGTTGTAGGCAATATGGGTATCTGAACTTCCACGCTTATCGCCAACATTTTGATACACTTTCAGACTAGTTTCTCAATTCGCTGACACTCATCAATCTAATGTCGCGGATGCAAAGTTTGCCAAAGAAATTCAGACATCTGGAAGGTAATGTTCTTGTTCTTACCCGTCAATCCTCAAGCGCTCCTCGAATTGCTGGGACCCAAAAATAATATGTTATTCACGAACCCGCATTCTGCAGAATCCTTCATCAATCTGCTAGGGGGGCTCCTATGTTGTGTATCGTACCTGTAATTGGCGGTAAAAATCATTCTTCCAGCCTTTATAGATTTCATGCATTTGGGTCTATTCTTAAACTGTCGGTCAATAAATTATCTGTGGAAATCATTAACATGCAGTTAGAATAATCGAAATGTAGTCAACATCAAGTATTTACCTTTATCTATTGCGTGAACTATGGTTGTATTTTGTGTGTGCCTAAGGGTTCCGGAGTCTAAAAATAGTGTATGAAATTTACTATCGTTCTAGAAAGCACAGCAAGTAATACAGTCCCTATCGAGACTGAGATTGGCGGCGCCGTGAGATTTCAGAGTCGGAAATTCATTTCTGTTAGCTCTTCTATAAAAAGTATTTCTAACATAAGGTAACTTACATTATTTTAAATGTGTGCAGTTGAGACATCCCGCTTTCTACCAGTCTCGATTAGTAACAAAGCCGGTCAAAAACATCCCAAAATTATAGTCAATTTTCTAGAATATGCACGTATAAAAATCTTGATGTTTTCAGAAGTTTTTTCGAGCTTTGATTGCAGCCTCCGAAATGGGTTTTCCATGTTTAACTCAGACCCTTCAGTTCGAAGCCGGATCTGACTGCAATCAATTTCCGTGGAAAATCGCATCATTTTATCCGCCTTTTACGTGTAAAGTTGCTGTACCATATTCTGACCAGCGTTACTATTTAAAAGCCTGGACGGTTTCCGCCGAGGTGGAATTACAAAACACACAAGTAACTGTTCTTATGATAAAAGATGGCATACTACACTGGGTTTCTGATTAGGCTACCAAGTCAATGAAGACCTTACGAAATTCCTCGTTTAACTGGATGCAACGTAAATCAAGAAAGACGATATTAGTTTCTTTAGCAAATTGATATGAACACCACGGTTTATGGTCGAGCAACAATTAAACTGGTATTGTGCGTGGATTTAAATTCCAGGCATCGTGGGGTGTCTGATTTCTTTTCTGAAAATAAGTGCTTAGTTCTGCAGTATATGCGGTCCGTTTTTATGCTGGCATATCCTACTTCGTAAAAACAGTCAGCTTTTAAATGACGTTTTATGGACAGTAAATGCTTACTGGTAATTCTGAAGGCGATGTCGCAAGCCAAATACTTGCTTTTTACTTCAGTCGGTCATTAGGGCACACTGGAGACATCACTTAGCCGGAAACAAGGCTCATAAATGTCCACTCCAGTCTTAATTATGTTTGTAAATAATTCTTCTTGATGTTGTGCGACCACATGCGAGGACCGCAGACCGGGGAGCTATAGCAACATGGAAAGCACCTATGTGCCCTATTCTAGGTCATAGGGACGAACTCCACCCCAATGTGGCCTTAAATATTTTCGACAACAGTAAACAGCCCGTGGATGAACTAGCATAGTGCGAAAACAACTGAGCTCTAGACCTGGTCCAAAACTTCGTCTTTCTTTGTCTGGGGGCGGGCTGCGGTTAGATGATGACGACAAATAAACTAAAAATTGTTGTTCTGTCCGATTGTAACCTTGGTAGTTGTACCTGCAGAGTGGTTGACATTTGATTTTAGTGCACGCCGGTTTGCAAGCTGTTGAATCCGAGACAGTTGTGTGCGCGAGGTATTTTCACGCCGACAATTTCAAGAAAAACTGTTAAAATGGAATTAAGTGACAGATTTTACCCATTTGTCTGCAGCTATGAAGATACAATAACCGTCTGTCTTGCCTTCCAAAAAGTTTGTTGACTAACCGAACAGCATTATTTCCACTCCAAGGACATAGTAATTCTCCATAAACTGAAACCCACACACTATCAAGACATACTTTAGCGTTTCTCTGAACACAACCTGACGGATCCTCTTTTGAACTTTCAGCAGATAATGGCAAGGTCACAACAAACCGACTTATTTCTCTTCATCTCGATACGGTCGGGATAGTTTTTAGAAATGTAAGTTTATCCGGAAGGCAAATAGCAGTCGCCCGCATTAGCCAAGATTTCGGCTTCTCTGACTTACTTTGAAATAATTTAAAACATGCTGATGTGTTTAAGCAACATCTCACAGTGGAGTATACACAGATTTATAATAAATGAAGACCTCGAGAATGGTGACGACAGAAAGAAAGCTTCTCAAGAATCCACTAGTCTCGAAACCTGATTTGAGATAGGCTGCGCTCGAAACTAAAGGAACAAGCCCTGGATGATTATCATCACATCGGAAATTATACGAATGCAAAAATGTGGAGATTCACCAGAAGATGGGTTTCGGAACACCGAGGCTTTACCAAAGGAAGTCAATCGTGTTTTTCGTTGCTTCTTATGTAGTGTATGACATGGGGGTTCTATAGAAGACCCCAGAGGTTGGTGCCATGTCGTTCGAACGCCTCAACTTCACTAAGACTTGTTAGTAACTCCCGCGAAGGTTCTATTAGGACAAGGAATTGATAATAGTCTACGGTGGTTTCTAGAACAACTGCGTTTCCTAACAGTCGCCTCTAATTATGTGATGGCTGCTCTTCAGGTTCTATCACTCGACGACCACGAGAACGTCCAGGTGGAACAACGCTACCTTGTTTAACCTCTTAGCAATGAAAATGACATCATCCGGTGTGAGTCTACCCGCAAAGAAAATCTATTGATTGTTGACCACTTAGTCTTCACCTTTAACAAATGGTCTTGGTGCGGAGCGCAGTAAATCCCACAGTATTACTCGACGGCATTACATCAAATTCTATAGGACTGCTCGGCGGCTTGTCTCCTATGGCAGGACAGCCCAGAAGCCACCTTTTTATTTACCTCTATTTTCTCTTTCGTGTAGACGGTTAAGCGTCATCAAAACAGAATTCGCTACACATAACTTGATTGGAATACGTTCTGCTATATCTGGATGGGTTTGTATTTCCGTGGCGAGGTCTAGCGGAGGAAATAACAAATTATTTTGATGTTCGGTTATCGGTTAGGATCTCTGATTTCTGTCAGGATATGAAAGATCAAGGTGTCTGGCGCGTGGGTAATTTGAAAACACTCCACATTTGACCGCTCATCCGCTTCTCAAACGTGAGCCATTGTCGCGGACCGGGCGCTTCCTGGTTCCGACGCACGAAGACACTTTATTAAGTGGTCTGGCCACACTGTTGAACAGGCGAGGAACTTGCCGGATCCAACATTCTTGCACGCGGTCCATATAGGCGCTGATGACAAGGAGAGCAAATTAAAAAGTTGTATGTGCCTAAATCAGACCTGGGAGGGATGAAGAAGCGGGATTTCCGGAGTTCAGAAATGGAAAGATGGCGGTTGCTGAGGCTTTGGTCATTAATCGTAGATCAGCGGCTATGATGGTTTTCATATCGCCCATGGTGGAGGCGGCTAAAACAGTACTTTGGATAGGCAGAATGTTATTACCGAAAAAGACAAGTGAGACTGGATGCTGAATGAAGTGTAAGCTTCGTGGCTTCGCTGCTTAAAATAATTGCTTGTCATCAGATATTGACAAATAATTGTAGCAACTTAAATTATTGGAAGGCAGTATGGACATTGTCCTGTGCGCGTTCGGGTTCATGAGACCCACACTTAACGCAACCAATCAGTATGTTTAGGCCACCGAATGCCGAGTCATTTACTACCAGAGCTTTCCACGTTGGCCAGGACACTGAGCGCGCAAATGGCCAGCACAGAGGCAAACGACCGCTAACCTAAACAAACACGTCTGAGCGCACACGTGGACCTCTCTCTATCACCTACACGCACGCACGCACGCCCAGAGAGCGTTGTCTTCAGTTGTCATATTAAGGACGTCTGTCATACTTGTCACATTTGGCGTACTCTAGACAGAACCGTGAAAGTGTCACCAGTCAAACTATTACAATGCTATTACAGTCTTTCATCCCATGGAGGCCACCCCCACAGCTCGGGATGCTCCTTATATTGTCTCTACTCCTCATCTTCCTCCTTCCAACGGGACTTACGGGCCCACATCAGCGTTTGACTACGGAATGTTACACGCAGAATGGGCCCCCCTACAACGGCACCCTGAACGTCACGGCAACTGGGGAGCCATGCCTACCTTGGAGTGACTTTGCCCACCTCCGGTTGCGCAGCAATTGGAACATGAGTGTGCTGAAAGAGAATAAGAATTACTGCAGGAATCCGGACGATGATCCGCGTGGTCCCTGGTGTATGGTAACGAGGTCCAAGTATGGAACTTGCGCTATTCCGCATTGTGGTAAGTATGTCGCCAAAAATTATTTTTCCTTACAGTCAAAGCCTGCATAACCGCCATAAAAACACAAATAAATGTATGTCGTAAATGCCCTATTTATCAGGAATTTAGATAAGATAAACATGTATGCATATTTTTATTATAGATCAACAACACCTGTGTATGTGGCAATTATTCTTTATCTAATGGAGTGTTTGGGACCCCAACAACTATCTAAATAGGGTTCTTCACAACCTTCCGTCGACATAAACTACTGGCAACGCGATTTTTTCCCAGTTGTGCAGCGCTCGGGCTCAACAGGCCATTAAACCCCTTGCAGTCACGCATGTGCGATAATCTCCACGCTTTTGGAAGTTATCCCGGATGTATATGTCAGTTTAACCGTCGAAACCGATGATGCCTACCGTGTGCCCCATAGATAGGTAGGCGCAGAGCGATGACTTCCGCGTAAATTAGTTTACAATGATAGCAACCATTCTCTTGCCAATAAATACTTGTATACTGACGATTCAACTCCGCAGGTCAACGCAAGTATTCTGGTAATTTCCTTGGATATTTTTTAGAAAGATGAATCTTCGTCCTCCCGTCTGAAAGTGGTTGTACACAGTTTGTCTCTTGGTGGCCTTCTAAAAGGAATCGGTTCCAATTGACACCAGATTTTTAGCCAAATTGAGATTGAGCAAATTGGTTATTGTCTTGTACTTTTTCATAGATAACCACATAAGGATTGACAGCCTGACAGTTTCAACTGCGGACATAGATACTCATCGTTATTTATTACTGGCTATACTAGGAACGTTTAGCTAAAACTGTTTAGCAGGGTAACTGCGCCTGCAATATTAATAGTACACAAGTACTAAATTTGAGTCATAGTGTCGTCTTAAGGTAATTTTGGACCTAAATGATCAGGATGGTTAAGAAATCGTCAAAAAACAGTACACCGAGTAAAATCTCACAATGGAGTTAGACGAAACTCTCGAAATTCTAGGTTAGAACACTCTGTGCGTTAGATGTCCTTAATTATGTTTCCTTGTTATCTTCATTAACCCTCTTTATTAAGCACAAGGTTCCAGCCATGCTAGACATATCGTTTTGTCTTTTTTACCAGCGTTGTTGACTAAGCGTTCCCAGCCCGCCGATAAGGCCTTAAATAGGGACCCTATCCTCACAGTCGAAGATAATCTGTTTAAAACTAATGATACAGTGAGTGACCGATCTCATGAAATGTTGGCTAAAATTCTAAAATGCGTTTTCGATTAGGAAGGATTACTTGATCGCGGTTGTAATACTGATTATCTTGTGGCATACTCTTATAACATTTCGGACTTGGCAGGATGTCGGCTTTTAAATGCACTCCTTTTTAATCTCATGTAGAACGCGTGCTCGGGAAAAAATGACTACTTAAGTAGCATGCATTTTTCCCATTGATTTTCGGTGGTCTTGGAAATTCAAATATATTTTATAAAAACCATAGACAAAATATGCTTTCTTTTAGTCAATTAATAGAGAATCACGTCTTCTTTATATTTTATACGTAAGGAAAGAGTATAATTAGGTTTTAAAAAAGTTTTCCAATTGCCGAATAATTTGGAGCCTGATTATTCGTTGCATTAGCGCTTAGTGATTTCACTCTACAAGGTGCATTCGTTCCGCGTAAAGAAAATCACATATTTTTTTACGCCATTAAAGAGATATCATACAGAGTCCATAAAATTTTGCAATGGATGCGGACCATGTTGTACATTCCATGAGGAGCAGTGGTAAACGACCAGGTACGATGCTATGTGAATGGACATTTCGCGGTCTCAAAAAGTCTCATAATTAGAAACTTTTTTAAAACCTAATTATACTCTTTCCTTACGTATAAAATGTAAAGAAGACGTGATTCTCTATTGATTGACTAAAAGAAAGCATATTTTGTCCATGGTTTTTATAAAATATAGTTGAATTGCCAAGACCACCGAAAATCAATGGGAAAATGCGTGCTACTTAAGTAGCCATTTTTTCCCGAGCACGCGTTCTACATGAGATCGAAAGGGAGTGCATTTAAAAGCCGACATCCAGCCAAGTCCGAAATGTTATAAGAGTATGCCACAAGATAATCAGTATTACAACCGCGACCAAGTAATCCTTCCTAATCGAAAACGCATTTTAGAATTTCAGCCAACATTTCATGAGATCGGTCACTCACTGTACGTTTAAGTTAGTTATTTTCCTCGCTGATTATTTCATTCTTTGTAAGCGATCATTTGTTTTTCATTCGTCTTTTTTCCACAACATTGTAATATATCCACTGCATACAAAATGATAACTCTTTCCATCCCTTAGTCTTCCATTTCCGTTCTCAAATAGAGAAAAGTTAGAGCACTACAATGGTCTTAGTTTCAGGTGATGTTTAGCCAAATGATTCGGATGTTCTTGCTTCCTTTGCAGACATGTTTACAACCTGAAAAGAACCGTGAAAATGATTAGTTAAAGCGAATTCCAAAGTTATTTTCGTTATGTGTTATAGGCTTGGGATAGGCCGAGAAATTACTAAACAGTTCTGTTTGTGGGTTATACACAAGTACATCCTGTTAGAAAATTCGAGCCGATAAGATTTGTCAAGGATAATATTAGGATTTGTCCGTGTCCTTGTCTGTAAACATGTTCATTCTTAATTAATTTACTCATAATCTCATATCGGATTTCTTGGCACTTCTATACTATTCGTAGAGAAACGAGCATATTTCACTTATGCATGTCAAGGTGCTTATTTGAACCCCAGTTGTGGTCTTCAAATCCGAATGGATTTGACCAAAACATTAGACTGCAGCTGTCCGGCAATAATAAAAACGATTTTTAACACCGTATTAACTAAAATTATCTATCACTTTCTATACTCTTGTACGTCATGATCAGAACAGCTTAATGCCTTCCCTTTGCTGGCACCAATCCCCTAAAATTTTGCTAAGTGCCGCATGCGGTAACACAGCACATCGTAACTATTGTTTTCAGATTATAGACAAGTTAGATGTTCAGTTGATTTCGTCCCTATTCAGTAGTCATTGCTGAACTTTTGTCTTCATCAGGATAAGAATTAGTTTAAATGGTGTTATTCATGCTACGTGTCTTTGCGTTATGCATGTGCGTAGGATGACTTGTAACATTTAAGTCTCCGCATGTAGCACCGCAAAAATCATGGCGTTCAGTTCCGCTTAAGGATAACGCGGCATACAGAATGTAATTCAGTATGGAAATTCTTCCTTGCGACCCCAACATAACGATTAATATCGAGTAATTCTGAACGAGTGACTGAGACGTTTCAGAGGTAGTCCATCGCCTAAGACGTCTGGTAGTCTAAATGTTCAAGGTCATCCGCCGACGGAAATTTGCATCTGTTAGAAGTTTCTATGCTTATAGATCGATCTATTGCATGTTCAAACAATTAAAAGCTGTGTTTACTGCATGCTCAATCTATAAAATTTATTCTTTTTCCTGGAAAATCATGATGGCTCACGGCGATTGGATTTTCAGGGCTACTCGGAAACTCTTGTTAAGTCGAACGTGCGTGTGTACAAAGTCAACATGTTTGGCGGCCAGATCAGACGCAAAGGCAACACGCATGGGTCATCCATGTACTCAAATGAATCTCCTGCAATGTGAACCGTAAATATGCTTCCACATTGTCAAAAGACAATGCGAAATTAACGTGAAACTTAGGTGCCCTTAGAACTGTGCTATTAGAGGACCGAAACTGAGTAGAGTGTTGATAAATAGACAGATCGGCATAGTAGAATGTTTTTTGAGTGCGAAATCGCGCTCGAGAGGGAATGTTCATTCACCGGACTCAAATGTTTTCATGATCCTGAATATTCCGAATGTTAGACTTATTGAACATACCTGGAGGGACTAGAAATCTTCAAATGATGCCAACTTCGTGAATTTTCACTGACGGCTATCGACGTTGACTGACAAGCCTCGTAAAATGTACGAGTAACTGTTGTACGAACAAGAATAGCATGTGAAGGGCCTTGGGAATATGAACCCTCCGTTCTACTCTTTTAGGCTTAACTTCCCCTACGCTTTGAACTTTTTCGTCAATGTCATGCTTGTTTGGTGCACCTTAAAGTACTACGACTGATGACCTCTTCCTA